GGACCAATCTTTTGTTTTGATTGTACCTCTGTGTCCTTAGTAAATTGCTGGACAAAATTGCTCCCGGACATTGTCACGTGTAATGCTAATTTCATAACTTAAGAGCAATTAACGACGAAATGGTCACGTATTTACGGATTAAATTGTTTAGTGGCCAATTATTGATAAAAAAATAATTCGATGGCCAAAATATGATCTCACCAATAGTTTAATAGCCGCTGAGATTTTTTGCCCAAATTAAAGCATGCCCTCGCTATTATCCACCAGGTGACAAATGGCAGGACTGTAATCATTTGGAGAGCAAATTTATATTGATCAAAATATTTATGACCACTTTGGCACATGGGCCTAATACTGGATCAAAAAACTGAACTGGATCAAAGCATCTCCCCTGCCTTTTCTCCAACCCTTTTCTCTTGCAGCCAACTTTCTTCCTCTCACAGGGGAGTAGGGCCATCCCTCTAATTTCTTTCTTCTTTTCTTATTTTGTTTAAATAGCAGCTTTTCTTAAGTTTTGTTTAATAGAACCATTCTCTCTCTCTCCTAAATTTCTTAGTGATAGTTTTATCTCTCCTAAATTCTTTTAATAGGGGTTTTGTTCTCTTCTTAGATTTCTTTTTTGAAAGTTTTGAATTTTTTTATACTTTTCTTATTAGATCTGAAATTTCTAAAATTTGTTTTGTCAGATCTAAAATTCTCAAATCTGTTGTGTCAAATCTAACTTTCTCTATGGCCAAGTTTGTTTAACGTCAAATCTGACAATTCAAGACATGGGCAGAATACTGCCATGCATAGAATGGAGCTGCAGTAGTGATTCATCTGATATAAAAACATTTTGGGTTATTTCGTGGTGGTATCTTTTAATTTTCAGATCTATTCCTAATTTTTTATATCTATTGTATCAGATCTATTATTCTTAATGCAGATTAGGACAATGGATTATGAATTTTTTTAAAAAAAAAAATAATAAAATGGGCACCTTAAAAAAATTTAATTGTTTTTAAGAAATTTGTTAAACAAGAACTTTTAAAGCTGTTTTCCATAAAAGTTAGAATAATTACCAAATCAACGCCAAATACCTTTCTTGTTATCTTTTTTTTTTTTTTGTTTCATTTCAAACTAAAAAAAAACTGAAAGTGGTTTTTAAATTTTCAAAACATAATTAAATTAAGAAAAACTATACAAATAGCCCTTTACGTATTGCATTTATAGTTATTTACTTACTCACTTATAAAATGATACAAATTCGTCCCTCACATATACAAATTACACCATTTTAGTCTCAAAACCCATTTCAGAAAACTTTTTGCACTAAAAATATGGCGGGATCACAATTCACACATGCTTATAGTTTTAGGTGCAAAATAACTATTACACAAGCACGATTTATCAATACCATTTTTCATTTTGTTCTTTTATTGTTTTCCTGGCAATTACAAGTTTTATTGGTGGTCAATGTGCTTCATTTTTTCTTTCATTTTTTTCGGTAATTAGTCTTCTTTATTGTTGTCAGCAATTAAGATAGATGATTTTCAGTTTAAATATCTTTGAAGCAATTTGTGAATCTCTTATGCTAATTAAATTTCTTAAAAAAAAGTGTTGGATAATGTTTCAATCATTTAATTAGTTAATTATAATATGAACAAAAATTTTAGTGAGTAAACTAAAGCGAATGGTCTGTACGTGAACAGATTCCAAGTTCTCTTTGATTTGTCACTTGCTTTGATAAATGGAATTGGAATTACAGAAGGAATTTTAATTTTACTGTCCCTTTAATCCATTTGATTTGGCATGAAAAACTTTTACTGGAACAATAAGCCTTACTTTATTAAAAGTGCAAAAGCAATCATGTGTGCAAGAAATCTTTTTAGTTGATTATTCATGACTGTGTTCTTTTTTAATTATACATTTGAAAAGGTAATGGAAAAAAAAGTCCAATATATATTAGGATTCTAGCATGTTTTTGAGTCTTGCCTTATAAAATTAGGATTTGTTTTTGAGTTTTGAAATTTAAATTTCTTCAGCCATTTTAGGCATATTAAATATTGTGGTCATTGGTATTTGAGTGGTGATTTCATTTTTCCTAAAAAGAAAATCTCGGAACTCTTTGGTGCATTTTTGTAGAGACATTATATTCATTGAGTGGTTAGCTTTATATTTTCTTCACAGGTTTTAAAAACCTTTTTAAGTTTTTTGAGTGATTTATTAATCGAAGAATCTTTTATCCATCCGTGGTTATTGTTAACCTCAAAATATTAATAAGTGGATGTTGTTACCATTGTTATGCTTTTGGCCATGCCTTGCAATTAGTAAATTATTGCAATATTTGTGGACATAGGTTATGCTTCAAATGGTTTCAGTTAAAAATTGTGGTTGAAATAACTAATGAAAGTAAGTATCAATATGACGTACTTCTATGGATTCTGAATTTTTTTGTGCATCCCCTTCATATTAGAACCTAATTTCCAAGGATAAGTGATTAATTGTTAAAATGTTCATGTATGTAAAAAATTTTATCTCAAAATCTAAATAATTTTATATAATAGATATTTCATTTCGAAACTGGATTGATAATCTGTTGAAATGTACAAAGAAAGAAAGAAAGAAAGAAAATATATGTTAGCTTGTCAATCTAATTTACATATAATATAATTGAGTGTTTAATAATTAATATATGTGAAAGAAAAGGAGAGAACTCATGATCAATTAATCGTTCATAGTGCAAAATGATAAGCACATGTAGTATGCCCAATTTGAGACCAACTATAAATCCAAAAGAGAAGAAAGATATGAGAAACTAGTGGCATTATAAAACAAAGAAAATAAAAAAGAAGTAAAAGAAATTTAAATAGTATTTGTAATACACGTCTAAAAACAATTTTGATCTAATTCATTTATCGTTTTATTTAAAACTCTTAATAATATTACTTAAAACTTAAGAAACTATAACAATTCAAACTCTAAATAGTGGGGACAAAAAAAATGCAAAGTAAAAACTGTTGGCTGAAGGTAAATTGATTTTGACCATGAGAATTATTGAATTGTTGTCTATTGTCCTAAATTTGAAAAAAAAAAAAGGAGAAATTTTGGAGATCAAATTTATTTTGATCAAAACAGTTGGGCCTAATACTGAACTTCTCCCAATAAAGATGTTCATTTCAAGTTTACAGTTTGATATGCATTTTAGGTAATATTGACTTTTTCTTTTGTTCATTTCAAGAGGACGGGGTGCAAATGTCATTTCCTATTGTCGTCAAATGTATAGTAGAAACCATTACGTGGAATCTGACAATCATAGCTTCAAAACATTGGTGAATCCATTAACGACTGTTAACAATTACAACATTTTCTATGTATGAAAGATTTGGGATTGCAGCCTGACCTGCAATTACATCACCACAACTCTGCATCAAAGTCAAAGGTTATCGGACCAGTGAGGCTGTTATTACCCAAGCCTAAATACTCCAGATCTTCCAACTTAAACAATGACCTTGGAATGCTTCCAGTGAAGTTATTGCTGTTGAGGTTGATGTGATACATGAATGGGTAATTCATCCAACAGTCAGGAATTTCTCCTGATAGACAATTCTTCCCAAGATCCAAATATTGAAGAACTTGATTTTCATTCTTCACTTCACACAAAATGTGAGAGGTGCCTCCTGAAAATAAATAATTGGAAATTAAGTTCTAAATAATTGTGTGCATATAAACCTTTTAACAGTTTTAGAGATATTTAAACATTTACCATAAATTAAATTCTACGTGGACCGATGTGAGTTGACTATAATGCATTGAATGTGCTTGACTATAATGCACATATAAATCTTTAATAACTTCAGAGATATTTGAACTCTTACCATGGAGTTGATTGTGAGAAAGGTATATATATTTCAATGATGAGTTGAATAACCAAGATGGAATAGTATCTGAAATTCCTGTGAAGGACAAGTTCAAAACATCAAGAAATTTTTGTGATCGGATCCATGTAGGAAATTGGGGACCCAGCTTCCATGAGCCCCATCCAAGTGTTTGAAATTGGGTACGAGGAGTCCAACTTGCACTTACTTTTATTTTTTTTCAACAGCCTGAATCAGACTTTTGTTGTTTTATAAACCTAATCCCAGAATTAACCTCAAAAGCCGGCAACTCTTGAGGCAATCCCAGGGACTTATATCCCAACCCAAACCCAACCCCAACCCCGATGTGGGACAAATGTACCTATAGGGGGACCTGCTGCTAAGTGGGATACTACCACCCAATACCCTTTCAACCCTGAGGCAATTTGTCTTTTTTCAACAGCCTGAATCAGACTTTTGTTGTTTTATAAACCTAATCCCAGAATTAACCTCAAAAGCCTGTGGGACAAACTTGCACTTACTTTTAAGGTCAAGGAGTTTCCAGATGCCTCAAAAATCCTTAAAGCTGCCAGATTGTCTAAGTGGCTCTCACTCACAATACCTTCTATTAAATTATCAGCAATACGAAGCTCTTCAAGTTTGGAAAGCTGCCAAAAACTTTCAGGAAGAGTTCCAGTGAATTTGTTGTGAGATACATCCAAGGATGACAGTTTATTTGAGTTGCCAACTGTGCTTGGAATTGGACCATTTAAGTAATTATTGCTTGTATCAAGTGAAATCAAGTCCTTCAATGTGAATACTTCACTTGGTAAAGAGGAGCTAAGGTTGTTATAAGACAGATCAAGATGTTGAAGGTTGGAAATGTTGGCAATAGAGCTTGGGATAGAACCTCGAAAGTGATTGTCGCCAAGATCAAGTGAAATTAGGGCAGTTAAAGTGGATAATTGGCTTGGGAGGAAGGTAGCGAAGTGATTCACTGATAGATCCAAAGATGCAAGGGAACTCCAATTCCAAATTCCTTCCAAGAAGCCTTCTAATTGATTCCCCCCAAGGTTGAGAGAAATGAGATTGTTAAGATGAATAAGCTCGTCTGGTAGTGAACCATTTAGATAGTTTCTAGAAAGATCCAAGAGCTTGAGGAAGTCAAGTTCCTAAGATCTCTGGCAATGGACCTTCAAACGAGTTATCACTTAAATCAAGGGAAGCAAGGGCAGTAAGACCGAAAATCCATCTAGGGATGAGGTGTCCAAGAAAATTTCCAGAAAGATCTAGGACAGTAAGAGAAGAAAAGTTGGCATGGAAGACAAATGTATCTCTGCCAAGATGATGAGAAATTAAATCAAGTTGACAATAGGGCAGATGTATCTCTACCAAGGAAGGGATCGTGTTAATCACCTCTAGCCAATTAGACGCCGTACTAAGGTTCACGCGACTCATGTCTAGGTGCTCCAGATTGGAGAGACCAGCCAACCATTGCAGGTTATCAACTTGAAGATCGGAAACTCGATAGGTTTCCAAGCTTAAAGTGCGTAAGCTTGACAGGTTTCCAAGCTGATAGGGGACCATTCCTTGAAATCCAGCTCCAGATAAATTCAGGTACCTTAGACTTCTGAGAGACCCAAAAAAACTGGGAATTGGAATTCCACTGAAATCATTTAGACTTAGATCAAGGTAACGCAAGTGAGTCAAATTTTGTAACGAATGACTGATTTTACCGCTTAATGCTGATATTTCCTGATCACCAAAATCATCAATTTCAGGATCAGGACCCTCAAGGAGAAGTTGAATCACGCGGCCACTTCGGTTGCTACAAACAACTCCTTTCCATTTGCAGCAATCAACGTCGTGTATCCAAGACGAGAGTCTACCAAAGGGATCTTCCAAGTCTTTCTTGAAGTCCAAAAGAGCTTGTTTCTCGCTTGCATAGCAAGTTGCATTTACAGTTTTGGTGGAAGAACAGAGTAAAATTATTGCGACGAGTAAGAAAACAGAGAAATGGGTTGATCCACCCATGGTCATGTGAAATGTCGGAAGAAATACTTCAGCTATGTTGCAGATAGATATATAGAGCTGGCTGGCAGTGGTCGTCAAATTATGATGGAAGAAATTCACAGTTGATATAAAGCTTGACAGTTGACGTGGCTATCAATATCAGGCTTGGAAAGCATATTTACATTGACAAGTCAACAATGGAAGACCCAGGAATCTGATTTTCGAAAAGAATTTATTATTCATTATTCAGAAATTTTAACCTCAGAAATGATTTGAAACAATTTACGAAGAAAATTACATAAACATAAAATTAACAAGTTAAAAATGAGAATTGGGATTGGGGGAGAGGAAAGTTCTTCTTTTGTCTTTTTTTTTGGTAGTTTTTGGTAGTTCAAAGCGAGATATATGTTCTAAAGCGCACATATATTAGGATTAATATTTTTGTGGTAACAATGCACTAAAATTAGTAGAGCCAGAAAATAAGGAGAAAAGGGAGCATGAAAGCTGTTTTGATTGTCCTACTTTGTACCTATGCCTTAATACAAATTGTAGTACCAAAATAATTTTAGGGAAAATCGTCAATTTCGTCCCTAAATTTTTTTTTTCTGTCGATTTAGTCCCGATACATTATTTATAGTCAATTTAATCTCTAAATTTATATTTCGCTTCCAATCAAGGAGCTTAGCGGCGGAGCACCGCACAATTTCCTTCAAGCTCCCAATTGAGCAACCCAGAAGGGGTATTTTAGGAACTTCCATTCTGGAGCCATTAACCAAAATTAACCGAAACAAAAGTTTCGTAAGAAATACCGACTCAAAACCCAAAATGAAAACAAAAGAATTTCTTGCTCAGCTCTTATAGAAGAGGGGTGGCGGCCTTCAAGCCTGGCTCTTTCTTCGCCGTCTGGTTCTCCCTCATCGCTGCTCAGATCGCCTTCTTCTTCAGCTCTTCCCTCCTGCTCTCCACCTTCAATTCCGTCTCCCTCGGTCTCCTCGCCTTCTTCGCCTGCGCCCTTACCAATTTCTTGATAGGGGTCTTGGTCTCCCTCCAATTCAAGTGGATCCAAATAGAGTATCCCACCATCGTCCTGGCCTTGGAGCACCTCCTGTTCGCGTGCGTTCCCATCATGGCTTCCTCCATCTTCACTTGGGCCATAGTCTCGGCCGTCGGAATGGTCAACGCCTTGCGTTTTCTACTGGATTTTCTCCATCCCCGTGTGTCGTCATTCAAGTTGAAGCAGGAGGTCAGCTACCATGGAACTGTAGACACCGGCTGGAGCCGTGGGTGGACCCGCTCTACTTCGGTAACTTGATCCAGAGCATCCCAACCGTGGCTTGAATGGAGGAGCTGCTGGGCAACGACCCGTCCTGGGGTGCGGATCGGCTGCATCGAAATGTGTTGGCGCATGACGATTCCACGGTGCGACGGGGTGTCGAGGAATGGGAGAGTAATCCAAGGCTGTTTCCGCTGGGGAACTTTGACGGCGCGATGATCACCATGGGAAGCTCCCCAAGGTTTCCAATGTATGATAATGATTTTGGGTGGGGACAACCCATTGCAGTGCGAAGCGGTAGGACCAATAAATTTGACGGCAAGATCTCGTCATTCCCAGGGCGTGAAGGAAATGGGAGCGTCGATCTGAAAGTTGTTTTAGCACCAGAGACTATGGCTGGACTTAAGAAGGATGTGGAATTTATGCAGTATGTATCCTCAATCCTGACCGACTCAATTCTAGTGACTCCTCCAGAGGCGCCTCCTTCTCCGTGCACCTGCATCATGAATATTGGACAAAATTGAAACACCCTTAAATGGATGCAGGATTGCAGCCAAATTTCCTCCTCCAAAACAGAAAAAAAAAACCTTAGTCGAGAAGGAGAGAACAAATAAAAGATTTTTTTTTTGTTTGAAAAAAAAAATTACCGAAGAAAAAGACGTACTATAATATAGGAATAGTAGCATACAATATCTGCAAATGGTTGAGATCTCAAGCGTGGTGCGTTGAAAAGACAAGAACTTTAATTTTTGTTACGGGCCCACCATTGAAATTCCTAAAATACCCCTTCTGGGTTGCTCAATTGGGAGCTTGAAGGAAATTGTGCGGTGGCTCCGCCGCTAAGCTCCTTGATTGGAAGCGAAATATAAATTTAGGGATTAAATTGGCTATAAATAATATATCAGGATTAAATCGACAGAAAAAAAAAGTTTAGGGACGAAATTGACGATTTTCCCATAATTTTAAAATTCTCCGATAGTTTTAGTTATCAACTAAAATTGTATTAAAAAATTATTCTTTTCGTTATTTTATTTAACTTCGTTTGATAAAGTGCCATATATCAAACTAACAATTAGTTTCCCTATAAAAGTATGCCATTAACATCTACATTACTATACAGTTAGTATTATTTTTTAATAACAATTATAAAAATATAAAGCTTTCTTTTCTCCAAGTTTCTTATAACAAACCAACTCTTAGTTTCTTTGATAACTACAACTTTAAAATAGTAACTAAAGTAACACTCCTGTATATGTCATATAGGAACTCAAAAACGAAGAAAACAAACTATATATCTATTCTGGCTATCATACAAATTGAAAAAGTTTCAATTATGGTTTTGAATGCCTCACATAGACAATAAATAAAATGATATAGAGTCTAATATTCACATTTTTCTTTGAACTTTGCCTTTATTTTTTTTTTAAAATTTCTTATGTTTAACTATAATCTATTGAAATTTCATTATATATTTAACATGCTTTATTTGCTATAGAAATTTTTGCTATTATATCATTGATGATTCGTTTCAACTAAAGTAAAAGCTGATGCATATTTTCAAGTGTATATACATCAACACGACCTACATAAAAAGACGATTAAACATAATAAACTTAATAATTCTGTTGATTTAATCTACATATAAGATTGTTATACAAGTCATTGAGCAGTGCTTACTGAAACTTTAAAGTATATATGAAAGACATCAAAGGTTATGGAATATATATGCGTCATTAAAAAAAAAAAAAAAAGACTTCAGGGAAACTCTTACATGCTAGTAAAGAAAATCGTATTAATTGTAGATTAATATGATCTGATCACATCCTAATTGGTTACTTTCTTATTTGTCGTCACTTTTTTGGATATTGAACACAATATTTGGAAATGATTAAAAGGAGTGAGTAAATTAGTTTTTTTTTTAAATATTTTTCGGCTCAAGCGAAACGTCCAAATCTTGCAAGAAAGGAAGGAGAAAAGAAAGGAACACGAAGGGGGGGGGGGAAGAAAAATGACTTAAGAGTCAAATCAGAAATCTAACAGACACTTGACTAACTATCCTAAAGTGCGTCTTGCGGGAAGTTTTTGCTACCTTAACCGTATGTAAAGCATTGCATCCAATTTAAACATTTTTGATAGCCTTTTAAACTTCTATTCTTACTCCCATGATGATGTCAACATAACCACATATAAGAATTGTGAGTAATTGCAAGTTCTAGTAACAAGATTACTTTCATTTCATGAACAAAAGGAATATCATAATTTTGCTTTAGTTTTGAAAAGTTTTTTGTCAAATGAATTCAAAACCAAAAAATAAGTATTTCCAAATTGAATACCACATCAAGTGTTCTACATATTAGCTCTAATTATTATAAGATTACTCTTTGATTCTGCAAATTATCGTCTAGGGTAGAAATTAAAATTAGATTATAATCTTTGCCCATATTACATCGGGGCTTATTGGATTTCGTATAGACTTATGACCGAGAGTTCTTTTCTACAGCAATGACCGAAGACATTTCGAAATCTTTACGCGTGAAGTAACTAACATCTCACTGTCAAGTCGATTGTAAGAAAGATTCAAGAGCACAAAAGTGACTAAAATTCCAAAACCAAAAATAACTTTGAAGAACAAATTTTTTATATATAATGATATGATAATATATGAACAAAAATAATTTCAAAAATATAATATTCATACAATATATCAAAAGAACTCCAAATATATTAAAAAATTTAAAAAAATAAAATTTACATCATCTTTTTCTTCCATCTATCACCATCACCCATCACCACCATGCTCTTCTTCCTCATCTCCCTCTCTCTTCCTCCTCCTTCTCATTCATTCTCTTTTCTCTCCTTCAATCTTCTTCATCCGCTCCTCCCCCTCCCTTTCCCCTCCTCTTCCCCACCTCCCCAAGATTTGGTCTAGGCCAAATGAGGAGAGGAGGGGCGGAGTGTGAGGGAGACAGGGAGGTGAAGGAGGAGGAGGAAAAAGAAAGAGAGGGAGGAGGAGAGAGGAGGATTGTGGCAATAGTGAATGATAGTGTTAATTGTTTTTTTTAAAAAAATACCCTTAAAATACTTTAAAAAATATCCCATAATGTTTCCCAAAAATACATTTAAAAACACCACTAAAAATTTATAGTAAAAATTTTTCATATCTATTACTATAGTAAAATATTTTAAAATTATTTTTAAAAACAGCTAATTCAAATGAAGTCAAAAACAATTGCAAAGATCGAAATTTTTCCAGGACTCAAGACATGCAAGAAATTGAGGATCCATCTTCCACAAAGCCGAATAAAGTTTTTTGTTTTGGATTCCTTTTGGGCAAAATTTTATCAGTACAACTAAATCTGTACAAGGATTGGCCCATACACCTAACGCGTGCTTCACATGGGCCGTGATGATTATTGTTGAAGTCTGCTAACAGACTTTGACTTGACTTTGAAAGATAATTCACTTTTGTTCTGTACCGTTGACAATGACCGGAAGCAATGGAAAAACGATATATTGAAAACTCCAGTCGTGTTTCTCATTTATGATTTGATGTTATGATGTAACAGATCTAGGCATTTGAGTGCAATTTAGATTTATATGGAAATTTGATTTGGATAAGAATTTATTCGTTTCTGGCTTGATTAGTGAAATAAAAATTCATTATGATTTTTAACTACTCTTAGTTTCACTTTAATAAGTATATTTAACATACAATGGAAAGCGCCACAAAAAAGAATAAGAAACCTTT